CAGCAGCAGAATTGAGAAAAAACCCATGATTCTCAGCATTTTTGAAAACCTTGTAGGCAATGGCTCTTTCGCCATGTGGGATGCTTTCCATCTTGTGCAGAACAACAATGCACTTGTTGATGGAGAACTCTTGTGCATTTTTTGACCCGGCCAATAGAGCAGATTCCTCCTCTTCTTGCTTTCTTTTGATCTCCACATACCGTGCCATACCTTCCACCATTAGATTGACATGCTTCTTACCCTTCTTGGGTTCCATTACAACTTCTTATTTGAAGCAGCAACACCAACTCTTTCAGCAACATCTCTTGGAGCATCACTTTGAGTGGCATATCTTGGACCATCACTTTGAGCAGCATTTCTTGGATCATCGTACATGTGCGGATCATCACCGTATTGATTCAAGTCAAAAGAGAAGGCAACCCCCTCTCTTTCAACTTCAGGATCACCATCACTTACGTGTGTCACCTCAACTGATGTGAAATTGAAGTTACCCTCTACTATATGTGTGTCCCACACAAACACCCATGTTATCATTAAAGGTCACATGTCAGTGGAGATTCATTAGAAATGTCAACATAAAGAGAGGACATTAAAATCCATTAAACTCATCATCGTAAAGATTGCCTAATTTATCATTGAGAGGAAATGACTTAGCCTAGAATTTGCTTATTTCTGGTCATGACCATATATAGCAGAAGTGAATGAATAAACTTAGATTTCCCGAAAAAAAATATGATTACAAAAGAAGCATGGAATACAAGTTACAAGTTGCAAAGATGAAATGCACTAAACTAGAACTTACGATGATCAAGTTCTACCAAAGATGTGACTTGGCATCTATCATGTATGTATGATAGTTCCAGCTAAACACAACTTTGTTTCCAGGCATCCTTGAGAAGCATGTATTGAGCCTCAACTCTATTTTCCTGAATTTGTTGCTTTGTGAATTTTGTATGGTTGTATCTTTCATGGAATAAACTTGCTTTCCTATTCCAAGCTTCAGTAGACCATCCATTTTGCCCCGTATGATATGGATTGTTGTGCTCGTGAAGTAACTTTACCAAACCCTTTTCAAGAGCTAGGTTCCACGGATCCCTTGACCTTTTAACTACACCAACACAAATTTACATTGTTAGACATGACAAGAGGGTGCTCATGCCATAAGATGAGCAATATTCAATATAAGCTAGCTAATATTCAAGATGAGAAATATTAATGCAACAAGTATAGATGAAAGAAATTACATGTGGAGATGAAAAAATATCTCTTGGAGGGGTCTTTATAATTTTGGGTGAAGGCTCTTCACACCATGTGAAGCTTTTTTGCACTCGCTTTCATCATATTGTACTTTGGGGACCCTTTTGGATACATATATGCATTTCAACACAGATTACATTATTAGATGATGAAGACGATGAAAGGTTAATTATATATATATATATATATATATATATATATATATATATATATATATATATATATATATATGATTAAAACACACACCGCAATGTTGGCTAGTCAGGATGATATGCTTCCCACGTTTGCATTTAGCTTTCTTCCCTCAGAGTGTTCCCTAAGCCGTTGTTCCCATAGTTATTCTCATTACCATTTGGGAGATCAACAAAATCATTTGGTGCTATGTTATTGGGTTGGTTGTCAAGCCAAGTCTCATCACCATTATCCATTTTGATGATATTGTGAAGAACCGCGGCAACCGCGGGAAGTTTCACTTGGTTCTCGATTGTATGTAGTGTGCCAACATGAAGAATTGGGAAGCGCTTCTTAAGAATTCCTATGGACCTTTCCACATGGTTACATAGAACAACATGTCGATGACTGAACAATTCCCTATGGTTTTGTGGCCGAGTGTGTCCATGCCCAAATTCCTTCAAGTGGTACCAAATGGCCCAATAAGGTGCCAGAAATGACTGGGTGTTTGCATAACCCCCAGCAACTAGGTAAAACTTGCCCTCAGGTAGTCTAAGGCCTTTGCTCATCGCAGACTGAAAAATTGTAGCGTCTGTAGCCGAACCCTCGCAGCCACATGACATGAAAGTGAATCTTAGATTGAAGTTTCACGCAATCATGATATTATGACTGAGGGTACCCTTCCTATTCCGAAATGGAGAGGCAATTCCAGGTGTTGCGGTTATAGGTACATGTGGCCCATCAATGGCTCCTAAATAGTTCTGGAAGCAAATAGATTGCAGGTCAATAAGGAACTATAAGTTAGATAAAAGAAGGAATTATGGAAGTGTTAAAAATGGAAACCTAGAAGTAAGGATATAATCTTGGGTTGGTGGAGATTTCTGCATGTGGCTCATCAATGCTCAGAGGCTTCAAAAGTCGACTAGATAAGATGGGAACAATGTTGAAGAACTCATTGATGTACTCATGAAATGTTTGGCCACTATGCTGAAATTCTAGATGGAGCTCTTCATAAGATGCGTTGTGGGACACCATGTACAAGAAAAGGCCACCTTCTCCTCCACCTTTATTCTTGTATCCGATATCAGGTTTTCTCTTCTAAGATAAGATGCCAATGAAGATATGTGTCTCCATCCTATAAGATACTATGGAGTTCTTAACATGCCCTGCAAGGATATCGTTAACATGCTTCTTGCCATATAGGATGGAGCTATGTCGTTGCTTTTTTCTCGATTGGTCCTATTACGCATTCGGTGCAATGCAAATAAAGAACATCGTGTCTTCATCAACCTCCCTTCTCCTCTTCCTAATTCGACCGATAAACATAATTCATCTTGGCACTAAACTAGAATAAGAAAGCAACAACTAAGAACTACATCTCATGGTTTAATTGACTTGAAGCAAGTTCTTCATAAAGACATGATAGAAAATCATAAGACATACATAATGATGGATGATATTCACAAGCTGAATATCATAGCATGAGGCCAGAATAATAGACTAGAGGTCAAGAGCTATCAAGTAGGATAAACTACTTCGATAAAGAAACAAGGTCAAGAGGCCAAGAAGTACCGAAGTTAGGTGTGACGACTGGATCTCAAGATGGAGGCAACTCGTCCACCCCAACAAGAATCCAAGCGGCAGGCTGTCAAAATACGAACATATCAGTGGCATGTAAGATGACATATAATCATTCATACTAGAAACAAACGACAAACTGCAATCTAATTGCCATAAAATAAAGTGGAATGGACAATACGCTAACCAACTGATATAGTGACAAGGAATTGTATGAAAATGAAACAGCAACAATCAGGTATATTTCAAAGTTCCATAACTCCACATCAGACCATGAAAGTGTCACCATCAGACCATCAGTAGTTGAAATTTGTTTAGCCCATTTAGTAAAAGAACAGTGAAAAATAAGTTTACCAACATATATATAGATGCATTCAACTCAACAACAACCAAGTACACTAACCAAAGGAATATCATATACCCGGTGAATAATTTGAATCAATTTTTTCTGTTTAAAAATATTTAGTTCAGCAACAACAACAACTCAGATATTTAGTTCTCAGCACAAAATCTCTCCAGATTTATGTATAGCTATGGATACATATTATGCTTCTAATTTCTTGAGATAGAAAATTGCGTATGCTACTAAAGCATGTAGTAGTCAGTTTCCTCCTAAACTGCAGTGCAAATGATCAAGAGTAGTTTTGTCAGACCCGCATCTATTCTACCTTCTTTTTTGGGAAGACAAGGCGACATGGCTAAGGTGTACAAAGAAAGACTAGTCAAACAGTGCAAGGTTCTCTCTCTTGGCTCTTGTTGTTACTTGTTCTAGATAATTCTGAAGGATTCTATGGCTAGTGTACTTACGATTTTGGTACAAGGTATGATTACTGAGGCCGCAGACATGTACATGTAACAAGTTTGCTCCTAAAATGCAGTGCAAATGGTCAAGGGTAGTTTTGTCAGACCCACATCAATTCCATCTCCTATTTTTTGGGTAGACAAGGAAAAATCATATAACCATGCCAAATTCATCAAGCACAATCAGACATGATGTTAGATATAAGTACCATTAAAATGATTCATCACAAATTCAAAGGAGCTGATATGATTTCATTAACGGATCATTAACATTCAGATAGACCAATTGTAACACTCCAATTAGGCCTAACTTTGATCCAATTAGGAAAAACAGAACGATGTAAACTAGCACACACGATGCACAACACATGTGTGGCTGAACTGAACCGAACCGAACCGAGGAGCATCCGAGGAGAAAGATGGGGCTGGATAAGAACAGCAGGCACGTCGAATTGAGGAGCATCCGAGGAGAAATCAGCAAGATGGGGCCATGTGTGCCGAACTAAGGAGCAAGAAGGCTTCCACCATGGAACTAGGGTTTGCAGGGAAGGGGATGGAGGAGTGGAGGAATCACTTGGGGAAGATAGGCTGTCGGAGGAAGACATCGACGTTGTAGCTCCGGCAGTGGCTGGGCGTTGAAGATTCGGCGACACATATCGAGGAGGCGGCAAGCTCCTCCTCTCGCATGTCTGTGTGTCTCGCTTGATCCGTTCCACGCGTGTGCCCTCGAGGCTCGGTAGCCGCATGGATAGAGAGGGATTGAGGGTTTCTAGAGGGTTTGGACGGTGAAATCTCACGTACCAAATAGGCCATAGAAAATTTTAGATGTTTCTAGGCCCCTCATGGATTATCCTGTCAAAACCCCTTCAACCCTCGCGTACCAATCGATGCCTTTCAAAAAAAATGGAAACATTTTTTCAAATGCACAAACCTTTTTGAATCCATGAACTTTGTTTTCAAACACGTGAACATCTTTTACAAATTCACAAACATTTTCGAATATATGATATATTTTTTTCTCAAAATTTCACCGCAATGGTCACATAGTGAACTGGTCAATAGGTAACGAGTCAACCACTAGCCGGTCAACCGTCGAAGCGATGGAAGGAGCAGGGATTGAGCGAGCGAGCAGCTCGCGTGTTGGGCCGGCCCACGCACACACATCACATCCAGACCTAGCCACCACCACCACCATGGCAGCATCGCCGCCGCGCCGCCGGGCCTCGCCGCCGGCGATCCTGGACGAGCTATTCGAAGAGATCCTCCTCCGTCTCCCACCCGACGACCCCGCCTGCCTCCTCCGCGCCTCCCTCGTCTGCAAGGCCTGGAGCCACACCGTCTCCAGCCCCAGATTCCGCCGCCGCCTCCATGAGCTCCACCGCACACCCCCCGTGCTCGGCGTCCTCCACAACTGGGAAGACGATGCCATCCCGCGATTCATCCCCACCACCGCATCGTCCTTCTCCCTCGCCGCTCCGGACTCTCGCTCCTGGCGGGCCCTTGACTGCCGCCACGGCCGCGCCCTCTTCCTCTCCAAGCGCCAGGACGCCGAGGAGCTCCTTGTGTGGGAGCCAATCACGGGCACCCAGCAGCGCGTACCTGTGCCCGCGGCGTTCCACGGCGACTACCCTACGGCTGTCGTATTGTGCGCAGTGGACGGGTGCGACCACCGCGACTGCTTCGGGGGCCCTTTTCGCGTGGTCTTGGTCTTCTGTGTCGACGAAGAAGACACTGAGCAAGATCCGTTTCTCACGTCGGCCGCCGTGTACTCGTCGGAGACCGGCGCCTGGGGCGAGCTGACCTCGATGCACGGCCAGTTCGTGATGTGCTTTGAATATTATTGCAGCGTGGTCGTTGGGAAGTCACTGCTATACTTCTTGTCCGACGGTCAGTTGATCCTGGAGTATGATTTAGTGAGGCACGGGCTGACTGTGTTCAACACACCTGATTGCCAACCCGATTACATGTCTGATGATGATGGGTTGGACTACAGGTTTAACCTCATGCTGGCGGAGAGCGGTGCACTCGGGGTTAGTGAAGAACTGGGTCAGCGTCTCAAATTGTGGACAAAGGAGCCAAGTTACGGCACTGATGCAGTATGGGTACTTAGCCGGGTCATCAACTTGAAAATTTTGCTTCCAAATGATGCTCTCCTGGATGCAACAACTTCAGTGCAAGTGTTGGGCTTTGCTGAGGAAGCAAATGTCACTTTGGTGATGACGGTTGCTGGCCTCTTCTCAATCGAACTACAATCCAAGCGGGTGAGGAAGGTGTGCGGTCATCGTGGCTTCTGTAATCTCATTCCAGTTGTCAGCTTCTACACTCCGCATTCTAGGCTCAAAGAACTCGGGGGCGAACACCATGACCCATAGCCGCGGCTGAACCCAACTCAGGTGATCTCTGCTGATCCTTCTCCAAAGAGACCTGTAGCAGGTGATTCGACATCCGTGAAACGTGATATCAGCTAGATGGAAGTTCAGAGTTTGACAAGATATTCCTCCTGTAAGGCTGGAACTTTGTAACACGATGTTATTTCTCCCCGGTCATGTTCCCTCAATAATGCTTGATACTTATCTGTTGAATGGAAGGCTGGAACTTGATGTCCTTTAGTATTTTTGGTATCAGCACGCTATAAGTTTATTTTATCTGCTTGCATCTACTCATCCATTGTTTCTAGGTGTTTCTCAGTAATACCTTCCCACCACTATCCAGCTGCACTGTTTGTTGTGGTCCGATTTTTTCCATTGTTTCCTCTTTACTGTTTAGAATTGGAGTCGTATTTGCTTTTATCTTGGAGGTTTGTAGAAGCCATTTTGGATGTTCTTGTTCATGTGCAAGAGGTGCTTCTTAAGCACAACTCATGTGTACTATTTATTAAGTTCTGCTTTACTTAATTTATCAGCTAGCATTACATGCCCCTTAGAGGAATTGGCCTTCTATAGATATCTGCATTTCTCAATACTTGTTTTTTATTCTTGCCGGCTCTCCTTTAAAAAATATATATTTAATTCTATAGTATATGCCAGCCTATCCGGTGTACGAAATGTTCGCCTGTTTGGAGACTAGTTTTCTTCTTTTCAAATCAATATTTGTAATTTTGGCCCTGTTCGGTAATGGTCCGCTCTGGGAATCTGCGGAGCGGGTAAATGGCAACTCCACCATTTTGACCTACAGCTCCACCAAATCCTCTCCGGGAGCTGTGGAGCGGAGAGATGCCGAACAGCCCGTTTATGTCTCTTAAATTCTGCAACGTAGATTTGTGAATGTAAAAAAAATTCCAAAAAGAACTGTCAGAAATCAAAAACAAAAAAGAATCCAAATAGAGCCTAATCTCCTCAAACTGGTTGAACCGTACCTGTTCAATCCTGCATATGCAAACTAATAATGGTCTTATTTGGGAGTTGGAAGGAACTGTTTGCTGTTAGTTGCTGTTAAATGAATCAGTCTAATTTCATGATCATGCTATAACGATTAAGTTTGATCATTTAAGCATTTGTATGCATCTCTTCCTGTTGCTATTCCTTTTTTACTAACAAGAACACTGACATAGTCGTTGGTTAGGGGGCAACTCAAATGGCAACAACAGAAGCCTAGAAGTAATGTAAATAATCTTGGGGTTGTAGGAAAAGGCGTCAGATGGGGTAATGTCAGGCCTCTGCTGAAGCTTCTCCAAAAGAGGCTTGCAACAGATTGTTCATCGTCTGTGAAATGTGGTTCAGCTAGATATAAAGTTCTGAAATTGCCAAGATATGCTTGAGACACAGTATTACATGTTCCTACTGCATGTTCATGTTGCTTCAATGGTCGATACTCTTCTAGCGATGTGTATACAAGTTGCTAGATAAGTGTTGTTGTCATTCAGCATTTGATCTCTCTCTCTGGTTTATACCAGATCAACGTCGTCATGGTTGGGCCAGGAGGTGATCTGGCCATGGCACCGGCGGCTCAGCCGGAGGTGCAAGAGAAAGAGATGGACGGATGTGCTCCGCTGCCTATCAAGTTCTTCCACAGCCGGGAACAAGAATTCCCTAGCTTATATCAAGTGCTCGCGCCGGAGGAGGAAGCCGCCAGGTTCGCGCATCGCATCACCGCAGAGGGGAACGACAAACACCATTGGATGGAGGAGGGAACGCAGCCAGACCCGGAGCCTGAGGAGCCGTCCGCCGACGAGCCCATCTACGGCTGGCCTTGTCCAGACTTCTCACCTGAGATGATCCGAATGTGCAGCAGGATGCTGTGGTACATCCTTGGCCGCCATCTTCTCCGGCCTCTAGTACATCCCATCAGCTTAATTCATTCTAGTTTTGTTGTGCATTTGTTTGCTCAGTCTGCCAATTAATGTTAGAGATCTGAGCTCACTTGCAACAATGCAATGTGTAATCTGTAAATGCATCTAGTATTTGCAACATTCTAGCTTTCTGATAACTCATTGTTTAACTTCAATTCGGAAAGAAAAAATATTAAATGTTTCATTGCAACCGATACAACACGTAGACAATAAATGTTTCTGAAATGATCACTGACTTGCAAAAACTACATCTAAGAGACATATAATGCTAGTTGATCAATTAAGTAAGGCAAAATATAATAATTTAATATGAGTTTTGCTTAAGAAGTACCACTACATTTTACGCGTGACATCCAAAATGGTTTCGCAAATACGACTGCCATCAGTAAAGAGCAAACAATGAAAGGTTTACTGAGCACGGCAAAAATTGCAGTCGGATATACAAGGTGATGGATGGCCAAGGTATCGCTGCAAAAACAGCTTCTCCCTCCGTTTCTAAATATAAATCTTTTTTGAGATTTCAACTGAGACTACATGCGGATGTATATAGACATAGTTTAGAGTGTAGATTCACTCATTATGCTCCATATGTAGTCCATATTGGAATCTCTAAAAATATTTATATTTAGGAACGGAGGGAGTAGAAAACTATGGATGAGTATTGCACCGCGGAGAGCCACTGATGATCCATCAGTTATTATGTGCTGATGCCAATAACACCTAGTGACCAGATCAAATAATGAGTATACAATTCAGCAGATAAGTATTCACCATTGAGCGAACATGAATGGGGAGTAGTAACACCTTGTTAGGGCGTCCCATGCATATCTTAGCAGTTTCAGAATTTCTATCTAGCTGCTATCAAATTTCATTCACGGATGGTGAATCATCTGCTGCAAGTCTCTTTGGAGAAGGTTCGTAGGAGATCGACTCATCTTTAGCTCGTTTCATGTCTCTGCCAACAATCTCAAAGTCGGTTACGCTACTTCCAGTGCTTTCTCTTGGTGCTGCCGTAGACATAGTTGGGGAATGGAAGCTGTTGTTTGATCGTGCCATCTGTGAAGAAGTCAAAGATGCAGTTCTTGCCATAGTATTGTTAACACTCTGCTCATGACTTGCCTGTGAGACCACCCTCTTCATAATATTATCTATGCCGTCGCTTGGGGTTGACATTGCTTGCTTCAGTTCTTCAAGCTGAACCAAAACAATTAAGAGAGATGTTATTGTTCCTTACAAAATGTCTTCTTCGTTCATAGAGCACTAGATTCATGAGCAAAACCAAACTGGTAGCATGAATAAAATTAAGTTTGTTCACCTTCTTCTGGAATCGAGGCAACATTCTAGCAAGGTAAGATATCTCCTCTTCCAGAGTCAACTTTCCTGAGTGTCCTTTAGCAGCAGATGCTCTAAGGTCTTTATCAGCCAACAAAGCTTCCTTGGCAATTTTCAGATTATGTATACGCGACTTGCATAATGAAATAGCCTTTGCACAATATGGGATTGCATCCCCAACCTTGGATGCTAACTCAAAGGCCAAACATATGCGGATGTTTCTAGAACTGAATTAAGGTAATCAACAAAGGAAGAATTGAACTCAAAGACCTAATCATAACAAAACAGCACTATCCACCTAACATTTTTTTTCTGGTGATCACAGTCCTACTCCAAATCTACACTAAAATGTGGATTCAAAAGCAGGTGAAGGCACCTGTGCAAGATTTCGGTCAACTCAAATTATTTGAAACCACACTATTATGCTGATTTGTTCTACTACTATACAGCAGAGTTGCTGACACTCTTATCACCACAAAGAGGATACAGATCGACAATTCGAAAATGGTCAGGCCTAACCAAATGTTCCAATATCGCTAAAGCTTCGAAGTAGTAACCGATTGAGCTGTCTCTGTCCTCTACAAAAGTGAAAATCAAATGTGAGGCCTTGAATGACCATTCACCAGCCTAACACATGGTAACTGAGATAGCTGAGATTACCTCTTGTCATCGAGATTTCAGCTAGAGCAATCAATATATTAACCTTCTCCATTGTCTTCTCTGGACTCTTGGCAACTATGACCCTTGCAGTATTCAACATTTTCCAGGCCAAATCCAAATCAGAATCATCTCCATCGCCTGTCATGTTCCCATCCGTCTGACCTTTGCCAAGCAAGTTTGCCCCTAACCAGCAACAACTATATCAGCACGTGCCATTGAAGGAAGAAAAACATTTTTTTCCTTTAGAAAATGGAAGAGTTTTATTATTCCAGGCCTCTGAATCGAGGATGCACACAGCCCAAGAGGAAACAAACAACAATGAGATGCACACAAATGCGTACAAGATCCAACTCACTTAGTATACTGTGATCATATAATATTAGTGAAAACATTCCAAGTCCCAAACTATTAGTACTTTGCATTGGCATGGGCAAATTACTGATAAGAAGTTTATTAGGTATACTCTTCATTAGGCATTAACAGACAATGAGAACTTATTGCAACCAGTAGTGTTATCAACTAGGTACTACAGTATATAGATTTAAAAAGGATAATAATGCCTTTCAGTGTATATGAGTGTCTAGGGCAGTAGCAGTGCCTTGTTAAAGTTGTGGGGTCAACTAATCCTGCAGTTTTCTCTAAGAGACCATTCCATAAACCTGAAGAACAATGCAAAATACAGTGACATATTTCAACCTATAGTGGTGAAAGTGATATAAATGATAAAGCATACCTTCTTCACAATCATCTTTGTTGGTTGTAGGTGTGATTGATTCTTCATTTGGTGCACGCTTTGAAACATTACCTGAACGATTGGCTGCCTCCCGAGCTTTGCATAACAAGGCACCTCCATAACGGTAAAACGTGCTAGCACACTCAGGAGCAAGGCCTCCATAATGTCGAACCCTACGTGACAACAACAACAATGCATAAATTTGCCGATGCATCATCGTTAACATTATAGCATAAACATGTAATCTGAAGTGGACAAAACCATTTTATGACACAAGGAGTAACTATGTTCTGTTGACTGTCTTTTATAGTTACTAGTGCTTGCACAGATTATGAAGTACAAATCTGAGGAAGAGGAGC